CTTACGATGTGTAAAAAAATAATGAATAAATATGAACTTCTAATTTAGAAAAGTAAATTAATTACAAAGCAATCTTGCCTTAAAAAAAGATGCCAATTTCAGCCAAAAAGGCCAAGTAATAATAAATAATATTTATGGTTCATAACCACTTTTGTTTCCAGTATTATTGAAGACAAGGAATGATAAACAATATATCATAGTGTTGATATGAGTAAAAAATTGTATAAATAAAAGATTGGTATTGACTTAGGGCATGTTTAACAATATATTTATATTGTTAAAGGCACATATGAGAGTTGACAGTACAACTTAAACATTTCTAAACTCTTCTTAGGATGGATTAATTGAAAATATTACAATCTAAGCCAAATTTAATAACTATTAAATGTAAATGAAAATAGAATCATTTTAATTATTAAAGCTATAATATTTAAACTCTATACTCACTTTTGTTATAATCAAACGTTGGATAAGTAACAATATAAAAAAACTTGACACAATATAAGAAAGTATTTATTGTTTCATTAAAGTTAATTCAAGAATGATATTTATTAGCCAAACATCTAGAAGTTGATTGATATGAAAATTCACTATTTAAAATACTCTTAAAAATTAGTATTAATTTTATTCTTGTTCTTGGAATATTTGTAAACCATAATTTACAACTAAAATTCCAAATAGAGTGTATATTCCATAATCAATGTATGAAAAGAATGAGGAATCTTAGCTTAAAAATAAATATGGTCTTGCAAATTTAGCAATTATCATAACAAAGTAATTTTCTTAACTCTAGTTTATCTAAGGTAATACGGCATATGAGAAAGGCAAAAAGGGATCCCATCAAACCAATTAAATACAAAGCCATTTTGCTGATCTCATATTGTAAATCATTATAGATAATATTAGTAATGAAATTAAAGGCTAATTTAAGAACTATATTTTTTTCCATTATTAATATTGATTATTAATTAATATTTAAATATCTAATCTTAGAATGAAACAATAAAGTATGAGGGGTCATCCTTTTGCAACACATTTGATACCCTTCCTCGACACTTAATCATATAAAAAAGTAGAAAAAAATTATATTAAAAATAAAAATTATAGAAATATTCATAATTCTATATGAAGTAAATAAAAGTCATGAATTTTAGAATATTGTTTAAAGGCTATAAATGAAGAGTAAATTTGTTCTTCAACAAATATATTTTGTTTAAATTATTCTTATAAAGTATTTTATCTGACTTATGAATAAGAAAAAATTAATTTAGAATAACTTTAGGTATGATCAAAATAAATTTAAATCATAATTATATTAGATGATTAGATTTCAAATTATATGGTTCAGTTTACAAACCTTCATTTTTTTTAACTTAATTTATTTAATTATTACAATCACGACCTTTAATAGTGTTGTTTTGCTATCAAAAATAAACAGGTACTTTTTTAGGCATTTTTTCATTAGTTTAATTTATAGTTGTTTGACTGGATGTTTGGAAGCGTATCATAAATTCATAAGAAGTTAATTTTAGCTCTATTAATTCATAAATCATAGTAGAAAATTAAATTAACTTTTATTTTGACAAGAGTCCCCAGATAAGGTCAATCTTGGGACGTGGTCACATAGTTGTACCTGGGCACTGTTGGAAGGTCCTTTAATAATTCCGGAAGGCTCCTAGTAATGGCGATGACTTCAATGTGACTAAACTAGGCGTTTCAACTATGATTGGATTTGCCAAGTCCCCTCCTAAGCGGATAAGAAATACAGACTAAACTCGGGCTGTCTAGGACCTGGCTGGAGCTAAATCCCTGGGAGGAGAGTTAATAACCCGAGATTGGAGAGGACATGAAGACTTTTCCTGATGTGACGTTCATCCAATAATAGTACTTAAGAGATGACATTATGAGTCGAGGGGAAAAGTGCAGGATATTCGAAAAGTAGTTGGCCTCTTAAAATCCAACGATACGTTGGATATCGAAGTATGGGCTGTGAGGAAAAATTGGAGAAAGATGAAAAATAGTGGAATCATTTTTTGGATTTCAATATTGGAATTTGGGTTCAGATAAAATCTGGCAACAACGAGAAAGTGAATAACATAGAAATGATTTTTCAGAGTATCCCCAAGATACCAAGGATGAAGTAGTTGTAATTTCAGTCCGGGGAGAG